AACCATATACGGTACAACACTATGATGTACGTTTGCATTTTGTTTTGGAAATAAATAATATTTAGGTGTCACAAATGCCAAAAAGAAAATTTTTCAAATTAAATTGGTTAAATAAATAGTTTTATTTTAATTAGATGAAAAAATTAAACAAAAAAAATAATTTTTTTTTTAAAAAGCAGCAATGATAACTTGGTAAAAAAAACTTTTTTCAAGAGTGAAAAAACAATATTATTTAATTTTCAACCATTTAAATATAAAAATATAAAATCAAGTAAAAAAAATAAAAAACCAGCATGAATTAACTCTTATAACTTAGAAAAAAAAGGGTAAGTTAGCTTAAGTTAATCAATTAAATATGTATTCCAATTTATGAAATTATGATAATCTAATAGGAAAAAAAATGAAACAAAACCATAAAAATAACATTTTTTTTAAATAATATCGTATAATGAAGTTAGAAAAAAAGATAACATAAAAAAGATGTAAATCTTCGTTAACTTTTCAGTCCAATGACATGGGTCATTAGACTAGACATATCATATATAAAAAAATCATAAAGCCCGCTCCAACAAATTAAATGCTAAAAAATGAAATAAGAAAAAAAAATCACACGAAAAGATCCAAAAAAAGTTAACAATTAAAAGGAGGATATAAATTACAATAAAAAAAAATTAGAGAGAAAATTATAATTTTTTGACTGGATGGTGAAATTAAAAAGAAAAATAACTTTAACAAAAGAATAAGTATCAAATTAGAAAAAATGATATACTATAAATTTGAATCGAATGATGAATTTGAAAACTAATAATTTTTTTTACAAAAGATCAAAATAATAAAAGCCAAATTAAAAAAATTAATATATGACAATTTGAAATTAGAAAATAAAATTAAAAACAAATAAAGCCTTTTACAAAAGGAAAAAAAATAGAAATAAAAAAATAAGGACTAAAGTTAAAAATATCAACAAATAGGAGGACTAATCTACAACCTTTAAAACCTTGTTTGGAAGTATGGTTGCTATTGCTTTTCAAATAGCCTTTCGTGCAAAAATACATGTCAATGATATTTTTTTTATTTTTTAAAATTATTTTTGATATCAGCATATTAAAACGATTTGAAAACAGTAAAAACATATTAATTTAAAGTTAATAAAAAATAAAAAAAATTAATTTTTTTAAAAAATATTTTTAAAATACAGAAACAAATAAGACCTCAAGGGAAGGTAAAGAAGGCTATGGCTAATGTACAACTTTTAAGGGAGGGTAAAAAAAAACAAAAAAAATAGTCCAATCAAAAGCAAACTATCTTACTATTATTGACACGCACCATATCAATAAAAAGAAGATTTAATAACACTTATAAAAATATAATAAAAATATTTTTTTTTCCCATCGAGAGGCACCATGTATGCTAAGAACCTTTTTCTCTTACATAATTATTATTCGTTATTCAAAAATCATGTTCCTTTTAATGAACTTGGTAAAAAAAAAACCAAGTGAAAAGACAAAAAAATTCCTAAATACATGGTTTATTTATTTTTATTTAAAATTTAAACTTGTTATTTTATTATATTTAAAAAATAAAAAGTAAATTGTGTGCTAATTTTAAAATGTTTTATGTAAAGGTAATTAAATTATTTTACTATGTTAACAAAATATTTATACCCCTATAATTAATTTAATGATAAATGGAACATGTGAAAAGTCTAAAATCCCCTTACTTTAAGATATTTGATTTTTTTTTGAAAGGAAAATACATGAGTTACATTGTAATTGTAAATAGTAAAATATGTCTATAAAAAAAGTAAATTTCCTTTCTTTTTATTATTTTTTATTTATTTGATAATTAGGTTCACTTGAAATAAGAATTATATCATGAGTTAAATTAGTTAATTAAATTATTATTTGTTTGTTTAAAAAAATCAAACAATTTAGATCGACTAATAGGTTAATTTAGGTCAAACTCAATCACTTTAAGTTAAATTTTTAAAAAACTTAAGGATAAGTTATCTAGATTTCAAATTGACTTGTTGGATCGACCCGTGATTAATAAAATTATTAATAATTAGTATTATCAACCATAGCTTAATCTATATGGGTTGACTTGGACTTGGTCTAAATTGGATTTTCAAAAACTCATATAGGGTTAATCTAGTTAAATTTAAATAATCTAATGAGAGGTTATTTGCAACTTGATAAAGTAATTCAAAATCTTTGTTTGATTGTTTTTTTAATTTAAAAATATTTTATTTTTATTTTTTAAATAAAACTTAAAATAACATCATATTAATTGATGAGGGTTCATTTACTCTTTAGTTTTAGGCTATACTTGTAATCTTGCCAATAATTAACAAATATTTTAAAATATACGGGGAAAGTATTATAGCTTTTCTAGCATATTTTTTTATTGTTTTTTTATAAAAATTTTTTGTTGTTTTTGTGTTGTTTTTATTTTTTTTTTTGTGTTTTGCCTTGTTGTTTTTGTGTTGTTTTTTTTTTTTTGTGTTTTGCTTTTTTTTTTTGTCTTTTCCCATATTTGTTTTTCATTTCCTCCCCTTTTTATTTTTGGATTTTGCATGTTTTTATTTGTTTTTTCTTCTTTTTTCCAGGATTTTCTTCTTTTTTTGTGTTTTTAAATTATCTTTTTTATTTTTTTAAAATATTGAATTGGTTGAAAATGTAGTTATATAGTTTTTTTCTTTAAAACATTATAGATAATTACAATGTTTCTCTACACGATTTTTTTCAAAATGATCTTTATCGATTTATTCTTTTTGATATTGAGCTGGTTGAGAATTTTGCTTAATATTTTTTCTTTAAAATACTGTGAATTATTACGATATTTTCCAATATGTTTTTTTTCCTATAATATTTTTTTTTAAAATTATCATTGTTGATTTTTTTTAATATTGACTTGGTTGAGAATTTAGCTTTAATTTTCTTCACATATTTTTTTTCTATTTTTCTCCATTTCCCCCCCTTTTTTTTTGTCAAAAATTGTCTTTTTTTTCTTCTTCTTTTTCATTTTTTTTCTATTTTCTTTCATAATTATTTTTATTTTTTTTTAATATGAAATTGGTTGAGAATGTAGTTTTTTTTAAAACATTGTAGATTATTACGGTGTTTTTCCATATGATTTTTTTTCTTTTTTAAAATTATTTTTATTAATTTTTTTATATTGAGCTAGTTGAAAATTCAACTTTATAATTTTTTTTAAAACACTATGGATTCCTACATTCGCTACATGATTTTTTTATTATGATTTTTTTTTAAATTTTATTATTTTTAATATCAAGCTGATTAAAAATTATAATTGTAAATTTTCTTATAAAACAATATAAATCGTTAGAGTGTTTTCTGCATCGTTTTTTTATGTTGTTTTTTAGTATAATTTTTTTTAATTTTTTTTTCATGTTATTTTTTAAATATTATACTAACTAAAAATTTAATTTTATAATTATTTTCTTGAAACATTATAAATTACAATAATGTTTCCACTTATATTATTTTTATTTTTTCTACAAACCCACGGGAGCTCATGGGGATGACGTCGAGTCTGATATCTAGATTTTGTTTTCAGGAGTCAATTTTGAGTTCGCGTCTGCCAAATAAGGCTGGTCAAAAGTTAAAACGTGTCAGCGTCAGAAATAAAGCACACGCACGCTGACTCGCGGAATCCAATCCATACTCCCAGATGACGTATTGTCTGACGGTGCCCTCCATCTTCCCCTAGATTCCAAAACAAAAAATCAACGACTCCATAATTCAAACAAAAAATCAATAATATATCCAGTAAAATTAAAATTGAAATTGAAATTTAAAACCACCTCAGATTTAATGAGTCCAATCTTTCCCTTCTTAACAGTAATTACTTTTATCATATATATATATATATACAGAAATCCAATTAATTAAATAGTGAAAATAATAACAGATGGCCCTCCCACCCGCAAAACTCTCCAGTGGCCGCAGCTTCTTCGAAGGTTAAAAACCAAACATTCGTTAATTTTTTTATTTTTTATTTTAGTTTTTAATTATGCAATCCATGCTTTGTTTTCACGTTTTCCTTTTATGTAAAGAACTAAAAAAGGCATCTTTTACATTTAATTATATATATTTTGGGTGTTAGGATGTGCTTGGTTCCAGGGAAAGA